CCCCCCACCCAGTTTTGGGGGTCTGGGGTTGAGGGGAAAAGGGGGGTTCGCCCCTCTTGCTGGCAAAGAGGTGGGATTAGAGGAGGTGGAAGGGGGAGCCCCTCGGAGGAGCGGAGATGCTGCCCTGGCGCCGGAGCAAGTTCGTGCTGGTGGAAAATGAACGTAAGTGCAAAGGGAAAAGCCTGGGGCCGGGGTTGAGCTACGCGGCGTTGTTGGCCGGGTTCCTGCGCTCCTGCCCAGACCTCCTGCCCGACTGTCCCCTCGAGCGGTTGGGCAGCATCTTCCGTGGCAAACGTCAGAAAGTGGAGCTGAACAAGGAGGACCCGACGTACACGGTGCGGTACCTGGGCAACGCCGTCACCCTGCACGCCAAAGGGGAGGGCTGCACGGAGGAGGCGGTGGGCAAGATCTGGGCCAAGAGCGACGCCGGGGCCGGCGGGGCTAAGATGAAGCTGACGTTGGGACCCCAAGGCATCCGTATGACCCCCTGCGAGAAGGGAGCCCGCCGGCCGGGCCACGCGTACCTCCTGCACCGCATCACCTACTGCGCCGCCGACCGCCGGCACCCCAAGGTCTTCGCCTGGGTTTACAGGCACCAGGTGAAGAACAAGGCCGTGGTTCTGCGTTGCCACGCCGTCCTGGTCTCCAAAGCCGACAAGGCGCGCGCCATGGCCCTCCTCCTCTACCAGACCTCTGCCTCTGCCTTCAACGAGTTCAAACGCCTCAAGAGGCAGAACGATTTCCGTCACGTCCAGCAGCAGCTCCTGGGCGACGCCATCGTCCCCTTGGTGCCCCTCCGCAGGCTGCTCAACGCCAAGTGTCCCTACCGCCCGCCCGCCGAGAGGGCCCGCTGCGCCCCCCGCCTCAGCTCCATCCTGGAGGAAGAGGAGGAGGAGGTGGCCTTCGGCACCGGGGCACCCCGAGGGGATGGGGGTCCCACCGCCGTGCTGCGGTTGGCCAGGGAGATGAGGGGGTGCAGCCTGCGTGGGCCTCGGCCCCCGACGTGCTGAGCCACAACGGCGGGTCACCCCGTTTTTGGGGACGAGGTTGCCCTCCCTGCACCCCAAGATGAAGTCGGACCCTCCTCGGGGATGAATCTGGACGAGACGGCGGCTTCGTTTCTAAGGAAGACCCCTTGGTTTGGGGGGGTTTGCACCCCAGGGACCCCCCACAACACCCCCCACACGAACCTGCACTTGTGCCTCCTCCGCAGCGGCCATAATAAAGTCGATGTGTGTTTTCTGTGGTGTAACAGCGCCTGTGTCTCGCCTGGACCGAGCCCTGGACAACGGGAGAGGAAGAGTTAAGCATTGAGGCAGTTTGGGAGGAAGGGGGTTATACCGAATTTGGGGGGCTTTATACTGAATTTACCCCCCAACAAGGGAAGCCAAGCCGAGGGGGGGGGGGGGCGGGCTGCAGGATCCCTGGCTCTTTCTGCATCCTCCCTGCGGCACCAAGGGCTGGCGAGAGCTGCTCCACGTAGTCATGGCAACTTGCTTTTTTTAAATATAGAGCTGGGGGGATGAAGGGGGTGGCACAAGGCTGCCCGTGCCAGGGAGGCTGCTATGGGGGTCTGGCCCCTCGGACCTCCCAGCAGAGAGTGGGACCTGCCTGAAGTCCCCACTGCTCACCCCAAAAGCAGCGCCAAGGCCCTGAACATCAATCATTTACCAAAAATGACTATTTTTTCCCTCCCCTTTCGCTGCTTTCCCAGAATAACCAATGGCAAAAGGAAAAGTGGGGGGAGAGCAGGGTCTTGTGTGTGTCCCCCCAAGCCTGGCTGCGGCCCTGCCTGCAGTACACGAGGTCCCTACAAAATGGGGCTGGGGGCTGAATCTCCACAGGCCCCACATTGAGCCGTGTCCTTGCAGTGGGGGGGCCCTTGGGGGCCGTGGGGTGCTGCTGCCCCACACCTCGGTGAGCGGAAAACCCCTCCCTAAGGCAACCACAGAGCTGGGTTTGGGGCAGATCCCCCTCTCCCCAGCCCAGGGGGGGAAAGACATTGGCCTGACACCCCTCAGGCTTAGGGGGAAACTGGGATCTGGGTTTCCACCCAACTCCTGGGCCCTGGGAGGGGGGCATTAGAGCTCCCCCCTCGCCCCCCCACCCCAGTCCTCCAGAGGGTTTGCAGGTATTGGGATTTTTTGGGCCCTACTACCACAATCCTGAGGAGCGGCTGGGATTTGGGCTTCTGCTCCCACTGTGCCCCCAAGGCCCTGGTGGGAGATGGGGGGGGCCTGGAGCTTCCCCCTTTTCCTCCAAGGCCCTGAGCGGCAGGGGGGGGGGCATTGGAACTGTTCCCCCCAATTCTCCCCTGGGAGAACTAGGATTTTTTTGGGCCCTGCTACAACACTCCTGGGGGGCTGCTGGGATTTGGGCTCATCTCCACCAAAGGCCTTGTGGGGAGGGGGTTTAGCCTCACCCACCCGAGACCACGGAGGGGCTGGGCCCTGGCCTGCCCCCAAAAAGGGCCCCGGGGGCTGGGATTTACCCCTCACCCCCACCCCCCCCAACGCCCCGTGGGGCCGGGGGAGGCCGAATCCCACCCCACAGGCCGTGGGGAGGGAGAGGGGGGAAGCGGAGCAGGCCCCGGCCCCCCAACAAGGCTTTGGGGGGGGGG